TCGTTACACGTTTCGTGCAGAAAATGATCGCTGACATTTTGTTACGATTTACTTCGTCTCGCATTACCGAGAAATGAGACTTTTGGATTTACATGCACTTGCTGCACAGAATAGCAGAGCACGTACAGATTGTACGTAGGATGGAAGAATCAAAATATCGCGTCGAAGAATCCCTAACAATTTAATCGCTAATTTAATGTCCTCTCCTTTGTTTTTTTTTCCTTTTCAATTTTTCCAATTACATTGAGAAAAAGGCACGCCGTAAGCCCGTGAGTGGTGATGGCCGACTAATTTCTTTCTACTTCCTCGTGATTCTATCACAAAAGACCTCGTAGAAAAAAGGAAGAAGCTAGAAACGAAAGAGTTCCTGACAACTTCATCGTTACCTCCTCACGTTTTTTTTTTTTTTTCTTTTTATATATACATACAGGGCGTATGCTATACAGGCGGAGTATATTTCCACCATGCATAAACCGCATACGAAGTCTAATAATATCGACTGGAACTTCCTCCAATATTTCGTGTAAACGCGTGCTCAAAAAAATCAACGTACTTCGTATGCCTGTTGGTTTCCCATCAAGGAAAAAAGGTCCAATTAAAAATTTATCGATTATTCCTGCCGCATTTTAGCCGGGTGGCTAAAGGCAATTTTTAAATCAACACCTTGCAAATAGATGGATCGGTCGTGCAAGTCCTACTGCATGGATATATATATATATATATATATATATATATATATATATATATCTTTGAAGGACAATTTTTAGAGAAACGTTGATCTCTCGCGAAATGAGTCAACCTCTTGAAGGTTCACTGAATTTTGAGAAACTGTATCTAACTGCGCTATTATTTTATATAAACATAGATAAATTTGTGTGAAACGTCATTGCTCGAAAAAGAACTTCTATCTCTGTGTGTGTGTGTAAGAAATTATGCACATTGGCAAACGTAAAGATGATGAAGATGACCCTTAAGAGATTAAGAAAAAGGAAAAAGAAAAGAACGAAAAGGGGGGGGAGAAACGAACGATATTTCGAAGCGAAGAGAAAATAGAGCACCACGCCTGAAATAAATAAAAAAATATATATATATATGTAACAATATATGTCAGAAAGAAACAAAATTGTGCCGAAAGTCACGCGTCAAAGGAGAGGAAGAAAAGTGCGGAAATGAGTAAACATTTGCACAACCTCTTCCAGAATTTATCTTCCATCGATTCGAGAGAGGGATGAAAAGATTTAGAAAAATGGCCAGCTAGTGGCAACATTGAAATTAAGAAAGAGAAATGGTTATCTACAATGAATGACGAATATTCCTTCCCTTCGTTTGAACCGACTGTACCAATTCTACCCCATGTATATATGTATATATCATTGGTAATAATAAATGCGGATTTTTATGCATTCATGGAAAATTAGAAGATGCAAAAATACATAGAATGCATTGCTTGTACGATATATAAAAATATATAAAATACCTAAAACATCTATTTTGTCATAATACGTAGCACAATGACAATATAAATTTCTATCTAGGTTCCATCTCTTTGATCCTTCGTGTTCGTAAACGTTTTTTTTTTTTTTTTTCAAAGTGCATAAGAATCCGCAATCGAATTATTACAATATGTACGCGTATCTAAAAATATCGGATAAATTTCCGTTCTATCATCGAACTGTAATCTCCCAAACGGCTCGAATCGTTCCTTTACACTACTACGATTAAACCTATCGCAATTAAACGAGCTCGCAAAGACGGAGGATCGCAACACGTCTCTTCAACTTCAATTATTCTACGTCGTTCCGTCTTCGTTTCATCGCGAAACAAATCGAAAAATTGCACTGAACGATCCGCGTCTTCGATGAATAAAGAAAAAAAAAAAAAAAAAAATGGAATCTCCAAACGTTTGGAGGTCCGTATCTGTCGTGGAATTTTCGAAACTTTCCAAACTTTCAAATACGAGCAGTAACGACCGAAAAGCTTAACAAAATAGAGTCGTTGAAATGAAGAACGGATCAACGTACGATTTTTGTTCTTACTCCTAACACCAAAATAAATTATACGGAAGAACTTTGTTAAAGAAAGATTGATAATTCGGCTTCGTAGAAAGGAAACGTTCAACTATTAATCCGTTTCTCCGAGTTCAAAAAAAGAAAGCTTCCCTTTATTTTTACTAGTTTCTCCCCTAGAATTTATTTTAATATTAGAGCACACGTCGTAGATCCTCAATCGTGAGTTATCCTTGCTACCCATTCGTATGGTGAAAAGTGTGTTGCGACACTCCGCGAGAGAAAACTTCTCTGCAGCAATTCCTTGCGTAATGGCACAAAACGGTAATGCCGTACGATTTTGTTACCACTTGCTTCTGCGATTCGAAAGAGACAAAAAGAAAAAAAAAAAAAGAGGGGCGAGTCCGTATTTTCAATATCCGTTTCGCGTACAGCAAACGAAAACGGAGACATTTCTCTCCCGTTAAACGCGTTCCTTCTAAATGCAAGTCGTCGTCGTCGCGCGTGGTAACACAATCGAAAAACCTACGACGTACGCGTTGGTGTTGCATGTGTCTGTTGTTCGTGTTTTCATACGGATCTGCGAGTATCACGCAGCATGCGTAACCTACGAGGGCATACTGGACAAAAGACTAGATGCACATATGACGAAACGAGGATTCCACGGACGCGGGGATTAACACTTTCGTCATTTCCACGGTGTATATCCTGATTCTGTTCGACACTCGATATATATCGTTGCGTTCTATCAAAACTGGGAAAAAAGTCGTTGAAATATTTGCGTGCGTGAATGAAAGGACGAAAGTGTTAATTGTCTGTGAAACCGGGAATACGTAGTTTCCGGCTTAAAAGTTACGCAAAACACAAGTGAAAACAGAGGGAAAGAATCAGAGCTTCTTTTCACGGAGAGTAATCAAGGACGCGACTGCACCGAAGAGAAAGAAAATTCGAGCAGATTTTTCGCTGAAAAAACAAACGAGACGTGACTGAAACGAAGATCACCAACAAATGCGACTACCAATCTTTGAAAAAGTAGTGATAATTTGTATTCTTTTGATGTTAACAATTTTGAAAATAATCTGAAATCTGTTTAGAGAGTGTTTGGTGGTCCTGAAGGGCGAAGGAGGTACGTTGATGGTACGTGCAAGGATGAGGAAAAGGTTGTGCGTTTCGTCTCAGAGTCGCTGCCTAGACTCATCAGTGGGGCTGATGGCAGCGATCCTTACCCCAGACGCTTGTTATAACTACTCGCTAGGCTGGACGGTTTCATCCAGCGGTATTTCGCACTCTGCTTAACATAGAAGATCGCTAGACGCCAGGCGCACAGCCACTTGCGGCTTGTACGAATCACTGTTCGAAACTAGTACTCGAGGGACTTATAGGCCGCTACAGTCCCAATGTTGAACAGTGCGGTGTCAACAATTGGTTCCAGGCGCTCTGTAACGAAACCATAGTCGGTCCCTCGTCACAAAGTGACGTAGGAACCATATGATCGATTGCAAGAATGAAGAACTCCCGCAAGCTCACGTTTAACTTGAGAACGAAGAAAAGGAAAGTCAAACTTGACGTAGTATCTACGTCATAAATTTCTCTACAGCACCTTCGAACGACGAAAGATTCGTCGGTTCCTGTATAACACGCACCAGAAACTTCGATTAACATTTACATTTGAGAAAGCACTTGTCCTTTTCTCTTTTTGTTTTTTCAAGCCTCGTTTAGATTCGGCATTTGTGTTTGGCTGAACGATCGAGTCGGTCGAGCTCGAGATTCCTCAAAATTCGGCTGCGTAAATGTAGCGTTAGCCGACGTTGAAGCGGATTTCTAATTGCTCGAACGAAGATAATACGTTCGTCTGTTCCCGATCGAACGACTTGACCGTAGTTTACAGTTGCCTAATGGAAACGAGGCTCTAACTGAGCGCGTTCGACACGTGTTGTCTCTCCCAAAGGACACGAGCACTCTTAGCCTACTTGCTCTTTGTTTTCACGATTGTGTTCACTCTGAATAGGCGGGAATACGTGTGTGAATGGCGGTTTTTCATGTACATACTCTATGAACTCCTCAAACGAATCGCGCAGTTTCGATTCATCGTTCGAAGGAGTGGCAAAGCGAAGTATCGTTATTCCTGCGCCAAAGATCGGACGAACTTTCAGTTCCCGTTAATGCGAAACGATAAAATTCGCGATCACGCCGATTGCAACGAAATCCCGGGCCAAACGAAGAATTTCCTAGATTCTCGACAAAACAAGGGGGGAAACTCTCAAGACAAGGAAGTAACAATGAAAAACGTCGAGTTCTTCGGAAGATTTTTTTGCGGTAACGATAAAATCTTTACTGGAGAAAAATGTTCCGTGAGTCGATTACAAAGAATGCAAAGGTGTATTATTACCCTCCAGCAGGGGGAAAATTCGATCGTTAGGAAGTGGTTGAAAAAGAGTATAAAAGACGACGATCGAGCGTCCGGGAAAAGGCAACAGAGAATCTCGAGAGGTGCTCGATCGATCGTCATCGTCGATTTTTCCCCCGAGCGAACGCGCGTAATACGATCAGGAAAAATCAGTTTAAAAAGAACAGCTGGGAGATTCGAATCTCCCGCCAGTACTCGCGGTTCTCCAAAATGGCCGCGCCGCAAGTTCTCACTCCTCTCTGCCAAGTCCCACCCACTCTCCTTTTTCTCCATTATTTTCCTTCCCTTCTCATTCCTCACTTCTCCTTCTTATCGACGTATACTGCTCAAAACTGTCTGTCTCTCTCCTTCTTCCGTCTCTCCTCCTCGCACACATGCACGTGACGCGTTCCTCGAAGCAGGCAGGCACACACGCACGCACGCACGCACGCACGCACGCACGCACGCACACACAGGCACAAAGAGAGACGCGCGTATACGAATGGTTACCATCTTCCTATTCTTCTTGTCTCGCTTCAAAAAAAGAAAAAAGAAAAAAAAACAGCGTCTCTATTTTACATCCGGCACGTCAAGGCACTCCCTTCTTCCTCTTCCTTTTCTCTTTTTTTTGCTCAGTTCCATTCACGCACGCCGTCGCGCACGATCATCACCGTGTCCCCTTTTCCCGAAAACAACGAAGCAAACGAGAAATTGTAAACGACGTAATCCAACGTGAACGAGTATCGGCGACGACATCGGTGTCCCGTGGCAGAAGCTCCTGGCTCCAACAAATGAGGACAATATCGCCGCGTTTGCAAAGGTAGTCGAAGCTACTGTCAGACGAAACAATACATGCCGGTGAGTCCCGTCCGATAAGGTTGGCTCAGAACTGACCCGAGACTGCCATGATCTGGCAACCAGAGTGCACGTGGTCCATCACCTGCTCCTTCAACCGGCACACGTGCTCCTTCAGCCTGTGCACCACCGCGCTCAACTCGGTGTTCTCGCCCTTCAACAGCTTAACCTTGTCCTCCAGCCTGGAGATGCGCTCGAGCTTGCGTCTGCGGCACTTAGACGCGGCCACACGGTTCCTCTGACGTTTCCTCTCCAGTTTGATCCTTTCTTGATTCTCCATGTCAATAGGCGACATCGGCGGTGAACTCGACACGCTCGGCACAGTTTGAGGCTCGTCCTTGATCTGAACCAAACCTTGTTGACTCACCGACGATTCCGTGCTCTGCACGCTGTTCGGCGGTTCCAAGGTCGTGTATGTAGCACCATGAAGACTGCCAGGCTCCTGCGAGCTGTCCGAATGATGTAGCTCGTTCAGAGCGTCGACGAAACCTCGGGCGTACAACTCTTGGGCCTCGGTGACCGCTTTTGGGAAGAGAATCTGCGTAGGCGTCGGCAAATTCGTTACCAAGCTATCCTGCTGGGCGATAATCAGCTTCTCCAATTCCGGCGAGCCCAGCTTCAGCATGTTCAAGTCCGGCGAGCTTAATATCGGCGTTACGTTGTTCAACGCGGGCGGCAGAGGTCCGAGCCGCGGCCTCTTCGCCTGGGGCCCCTGTCGCTGGCATCCATTCAAGTCGAGCGTGAGATTACGCTTCAACTGACCCACGTTGTTCTCGCGATTCACGGCGACGTAGACGCTCGTGTCCTCGTAGAACGTTTGCTCCATCGTCGAACTTCGCACCATCGATGCCAGATAAAGGGCTCTGGACTACGTGTCAATCGAAAGTCCGCAACTCTGTTGAACGAGCTACGCGCGATACTGCACGTACGAAACGAAGTCGAGCGTATCGCCGACTCCGTCGTTCAACACACGTGTAAAGATTTCCACCGACGCTTGGAAAAGAGCGATCGGTCGCGTTCGATGATCGATCGGTCCTTTCTGTCTATCCGACCACTTGACTGTTTTTTACTCACCAACACGCGTCGCTGACGCATACGTTTTCTGTCCGAGCATTCCCGTCTGGTTGGTTGGTTTTCGCCCGACGTTACATAACCACGCGACGTGTTTCAACGAGCCGCGATATCAAGTCGAAGTTGAGACGCAAAAGGTGAGTGGTGCTTCGTGCGGTATCTAACGCGTCACACACACGTACGAGCTTCGTACCTGTCCTGACCTGTCTCAGGCCTCAGTGATCAACCAGCGACACGAGGACCGATTTCGTTCAACTGTCAACACAACAGTGACTCACGACACGCAATCCGATGAACGTGATGTTCTGCGCGTGTGCATCTCTAAGGCAATAGTACACCGAATGCGAGCGTCAGTCCGCTGCACGGCACGATGTCTCGACAACTTGTGAACACCCAACTAAATGTACAGCCTTATATCCCGTGACTCACGTGTACTAAAAATAGCTCGGTCGTCATCTGAACACGCAGCCATTGGTGGCTTCTGAGGTCATTTGCCGTTCACCATTGGTTGGTCAATCGGCGCTACTAAGAAATGGCTGGTGCATGCGCAGTCGCGTATTATTGGAGGGAGAGTTTGAACGCCGGTACGCGCGTCAAAGACACGACTTTTACCCACAGAAATTCGTGTTATTTTCGAGGACCGATAATAGCTCCATGATGTTGCATAAATAATGCAAGCGCTATTGAACAGCAAAAATATCGCACTTATGTATCCCTCAAGAGGATTTGCTGTGCGTGCTGTTACAGTAACATACATCTTTTCTTTTTTTTTTTTTTTTTTTTTTTCAACAATTTCTTATCTTTCCTTCTTATGATTTCTTCGAGGTGCTTTTCAGCTGTCCTTTCGTTCTNGCATTGCCCGCCGCAGAGCGACTTTCCTGATACAGAGGTTTTTCGAAAAAAAAATTCTAGCTGTAATTTCTCGTGACCGAGAAAGAATATCTGGCTGAATATTCGTTCAATGTATCAGGAGAACATGAGACTCGAGGAGGTAGCACGGCATTGCCGGCCGCGGAGCGATTTTCCTGATACAGTAGTTTTTCGAAAAATAATTCTAGCTGTAATTTCTCATGACCAGAAAAGTAGTATCTGGCTGAATATTCGCACAATGTATCAGGAGGACATGAGACTCGTGGATGTGGCGCAGAATTGCCCGCTGTTGAGCGGTTTTCCTAATACAGAGGTTTTTCGAAAAATTTTCGAACTCTAATTTCTTATGACTGAAAAGGAATATCTGGCTGAATATTCGTACAATGTATCAGGAGAACATGTGTGCCGTTCATCTGCATTCTGTGTCGTTCCACCTCCTCGAATCTCGGGTTTTCTTAATACAATATCGTCGTCCCTGCGTGTCACTGTGTTTTTCTCTGTAGCTGTCCGGCCGAATGTGAGTTTCGAATCCTAGATCTCGACTCTCCCGAATGTATTTATTGTATAGTTTTGGACATCCATTCCTGGATGTCGAGTTAATGATTCTTGCTCTCGTTGACCGCCAGCCTTTTGAGACACCCTACTCTAGGTTTATATTTCGTGGAGAAACATAGTGAAAAAAAAAAATTACCCTTCCATTCAATAGTTCGAAATGATTTAGACTGATTGAATTTCAATGTTACGTTTTATTTTATCTATCGTTTAACACAACTGTGTAGCGCACGTGTGGTCGTTCTTGCTCTTTTATGTACAGGATTGTCAGGTCGATGTATGAACAACGCCTGGTGACGCAACACGGTGAAACTAATATCGTAGAAATACCTTAATTTTACACGCTACGCGATTCGAATGAATTTGGAGAACGCTGTGAATTCTTGTCGTTTCCCTTAAAAGAAAAAAAAGAAAGAAAAAAAAGCGAGCATTAGAATGAATAGGAAACGTGTTTTTCTCTTTTCCTCTGGTTTTCACCGCGCCTAACAATAGCTACGTTGAAACTATTTCCCTGAACGTAGTTTATTAATTCGCGGCGATCGATATTACAATTAGTCCTTCAAAGTGAATGTTCAAAGGCAATGCGCCGGCTCGATTATGCATCGAATAATCCAATAGCTCGGTTGTAATTTAATGGTACACGTTCCACCGGATGTCCTACATACGAAGTATAAATAAGGTCGTCCTTGCGACGCAGTCGAACGACACCCTCTGTTCGTAATACGGGATGCGAGCTGAACGTTAAACGCAGAATTTTTCCAGAATTCCTTGCTTCGGCGATGAAAAAATACCCATTGAAAAAATGAACGCCATGTGTTCGATGATTCGATGCAGATTTCGAGAATCGTCCCTGCAGATAGTCGTCCAGGGAATGGGTCGATTCATCACCCGTACATCGCCGTGTGTTTCTTTATTATCAATATATGAAACTCGAGTAACTGAATTTTTGATCACCGTTGTCGTAATAATGTAACAAATATTAAATAAATTTGACAGTTTGTCAGAGTGTAATTGCGCAATGCTCAGATATATTATTTAGAAATTGAATAAAAATTGAATAAATGTTAAATAATGAACTGTTTCTTCGCAGAATGATTCTTCGAAGATCTTACGTAGACTGGAATTTTTATAATGGTGCATTCAATAATAATTAAATTACAAAATTGAGTTTAAACGATGTTATTTAACATCGGCAACAACAATCTGGAAGCATTCGTGATGTCGAGGAGTCCATGCAAATTAAAATAATCACCAGCGGAATTGTAGGATAAAATTTTCAGGGTTGATAGAAACAGATTCTGCAATTGTTCTTACGCAATATATTTATATTTAAAATCTTCGTGTCTGTTACAAGTGTTACAAAATCTTAAAAAGCATTTGTTTCTTGTAGTAATGGTACGACTTCATTTTCAATGATCGTAAAATTCAATGAATGATTGCTAATATTGTCTCAAGGAATTCAACTGTCGGAATGTGTAAATTAAGGGAACGGAGGTTTGTATGCAATCGAAATGTCTCAGACGAACAATTGACTAATCGAATAATACTCTCGAAGTTTGTTTTATAAAATAAACGAAGCGAATACGTTTCAACGAATGAAATGAGGTATAATATAATGTTCGTGTCGTATTTCGGATGAGATAGTCGTAAATTCATAGAAAGAAGAAAAAGGTAAAAGAAATCGATCACCTTAAAATTAAGCTTCATCGAGAAAACAAACGTTTCACTTTTAGGAAAAATACGCTCTTTGAAACTATCTCGAAATCGTTTAATTTGTGCGGATAGTTGTTATCGTAACAACAGTACAACTAACAATTATATTTTCATATTTGAAGGTATATATTTACAATGCATCCGTTGCCAACAACGATCTCTTCTTTTCTCTCTTTTTTTTTTCTTTGTTTTCACAAATTTCCTATTATAATTTCTATTATTAATACTCTCTCTGTCTCAGTGGACTGCGGATTCTCATGCGATCTTACGTTTTTCGCAAATACAAACAAACAAATGAGACTCGTGTCATCGTCTTAACGTCGTAAATACCTGTAATATCAACGTCACATTAATATTAATATTATTTTAAATATAAATATCATTATATACATAAGTATTATTTATATTTATAATACCAATAATATTAACTTTTTAAATATTTCGCGCCATTGAGTTTCGCAGCTTCACGCGGGACAAAAAAATCCGCAGTCTGCTCGTCGCGTTCAGATACAAAAATGCAGTAACGAAAGAAATTCGTTCGATCAAC